GATAAAAACAGCATTTTCAAACGTTAGTAGAGCTGGTGCACTCTTGAATATAACCCAAGGAATCCAGAGGAAAGGAAGCTGGTTTCTTGGCAAATAACCTAAAATGAAACATTCAGTTTAATATAGACCAAATACTTACAATTCATACACATTTCCAATTCCAGATGTGACAATCCTCGATAAATCTGTGATTCGATTGTGTTGTAGATTTCTGAAACGAACATAAGAGTCTAAGCAAGTAAAGTTCGAATTTCTGATGCTGATCGAGAGAATATATCTTGGTTCAATAAGATGATAAAAAAATCACCCATATGGTGGCCACACCCACGCACTACAGGCCACATGTATGACATGTCTAATTTTCAGTTGTCTCACTCATTTTTTTTCTATGATTATTTTAGTCACTTTTTCTAGAGACAAAGATAAATAGAGGAATTGATCAATCGATAGATCAGTAGATGGAAAGTGTATCAGTGACTGCTAAAAGATTGATACATGGAAATGATAAAGCTAATGATATATTCACGATTTTCCAAATAACAGCAGATTTAAAGATTTTTAAAATGTTACAGACATGTACAACTTTAGACGGACAGAAGTAGCTTATTTTGTAAAACATTTAAAAGTGACCAATTTAACTAATAATAAATTCAAATAAAAGGAATTCGGAGGTAAATAACAGTACATTTGTTTTTTGATTTTTCTTTTTTTTATTTCCTCTTTTTGTTTATGAAAGAATAATTTTCAGTCATCACTTGTTTTATCTCTGAAATTGAATATTTCCAAGTTTAGTCCACGGTTCAGACTATTTGCAATTTTGAGATGTCTTAGGGAGAGAGGTTACCAAAAACTGAGTCGTTCGCCATCAAGAGGACTGACACACCGGAAGCAAAGATTGCATCCGTTCCGGTTCCTACTTTCATGGCAAACAAAATAGCGTCGAAGAGAAATATTATCCTGACATCGTACATTTTGATATATTAATTCACCGCTTCTAGTGTGATTCTAGTGTAGTAGTGAATTATGTCCTATCAGACCAAGTTCACTAAAAAATAAAGAAGATATCATGCTTTATTAACACTAAATGTATAATTTAGATTTGTTTGTTTTGTTTTGTTTTGTTTTTTTGAAAAGCACGCTTTTGCAAAAAGTAGCTTAATTTTTATTAACGAGCATAGTTTTGAGCACAATTTGGAAAAAAATCGAACAAGGTTGATAGCATAACATGCTACTTTTATTAACACAATTTATTTTGAAAGAACAATAATAAAAAATGACGTCATGGTAACCGGATTTGACAAGATTGCGGTTTTCACTTCTCACAAAGGTTTCTTTTTTTAGTTTGCTAACATGGCTAAAGGTTAAATTCGAGCTTTTTTTTTGTGGGAGGAAGGCGGTTTTTAGGAGTGGGATTTTTCATTTTTTGTCGGAGTTGAAATAACAAGTTTCATTTACGTAGAGATGATCTCTATATTCGGTGCTCTTAAATGTGTTTTGAAGCTGTCTTTTATTTAAACGTTACATCTCGAGTTAAATTTATCGCTAACACGTTCACCTTGCCCACTGCATGAGATGAGATTTGTTTCGATGCATGACACAAAAAAGTCCTATGTATAAAAAAGGTATAATAGCTACTTACAATCGATAAATAGTTTCAGGACCTGTTAAATCTGGTACAGATGTCACCTTGTTGTAGTCCATAGTGCTATACGAATCAAGTAAACAGAAAAATATAAAGGAGTTGTAATGGGCTCTGATCAATACACAAACACTACTTCTTTCTCTTTGTCTTGTAATTTTTACTTCCTCATTGATTTTTTATTTGTCAATTTCTTTTCATTTGTTTTCATCGTAACTCGTAATTGATCGAGGGTATATATGTCATCTGAAATAAAGTTGGCGCGTTGTGACGAGTGACCGTTTTCTTTATGCCATGCTACAAAATCTTTCTTTATTTTTGCCAGTTTAAATCTGCTCCTTGCCGAAATTTTTTCCCATTTCACCTGTTTTATGCAAGCATCTTTAAATCACTTACCATGTTTTGAGATAATTAAATCGTTTTAAAATGCCATCACCTATTGTCTCTAGCTCGTTTCCTGAGAGGTACCTATTAGCAAGAGTAAAGAGAATTGAGATATCTTCTAGTGGGCATCGAAGGGTGAGGGAGTGAGTATGGTGGGTCCAACATTTCAATAAAAA